CCCAGTTCATTTCATCCAGCAAAAATCAGTTATAAAGAAATAATTCAGTTATGATTCGATCCTTTTGTATTATTTGATGGTCACAGTATCTGCCTTCACACAAAGATAACTCTCCCCCACTATTAACTTAAACACAATACTATACTGACATTTGTTAATTAAGAGCAAATCTACATGTTTTTATATCCAAAAGTGCAAACACTAATTTTTAGATGTTGATCTTTTGCTAGACACAGGAATGTAGCTTGAATAGCACAGAACTATTATTAGCAGGTTTATTCACCTAACTCCAGCAAGAAACCCAGCAACCTCCTTCAGCCCCACCTGCTGTTGCTCACATCAGTCTGCCATCCATGGGAAGGACAGCCCTGGCAACAAACATGGGAGATAGACTATGATACAGAGCTGCTTTGGGAATTAAAATTTTGAATTAATGCAATTGTAGCAGGGAAAGTGAATATTTTTCCCCCCTTCCATTGTTAAAAGGGTTATTAAAGACATAATGAATGTTCACTGAATGTGTTTTAAGGCTCTGCTGTTTTTTTCTCTCTGCATGTCAGCTCATGTGTGCTCCTGAGGAGCGATAAAACAGTCTCAACAGCAACGTCAAGCAAACAAGGCTGGGGAGAAGCAAGACAAACTATCAACAACAACAAAAATGTCTTCACTAGCACATCAGAGTTGTTCTTCATATTTGTGAGAGGTTGCATGACCTCATATTCTCACTCAAACACGAGAGTGGTGAGACAAGCTTTATTTCAGATAAGACCAGCGCTGTTTGATCTCCAGGAGCAGGGGGGTCTCCAAAATTCCTAGCAACAGCCACAAATCTGCAGCAGAAGCAGCAGCAAGAATGTTAAGGCCAGCTTTCAGAGCAGCCATGGTCATTTCTGGCCTTTATTTTTTGAAGGAAAAAAGCCCAAGTATCTCCTGGGGTCACTACCATATGTCAGGCAAACCAGTGAAGCAGTCTAATCCAGCAGTGTGTTTTGCTTGTTTTACTGAAGGTAAGCTGAAAGGTTTATAACCCACTGCTACAACTGCAGAACACCAGCTGTTCATCAGGTCTGCTTTACGGGTAAAGCCCATCTCACATCTCCGATGAGCTCTCCTTCCATTCCCCTTTTAGGAACCCTACATATGGGATGAGCTTTTCCTACGTGTACAGAACTTTTTTCTTTTCATTCTCCTCCTTTCCAATTCAAATGTTGTTCTCCATTTTTGCATTTCATTTCAGTTTCCATTTCCCCCACGCTTAAGACAGAATAATTAGATTGCACTAACTACCTAAGCCTATGTCAGGGTGTTGTGTCACTGGCCCCTGGGCTGGGGTGAGGAATGAGTTTTTTGACAGGCCACCTGCAATGGCATCAACAGGTAGTTGTCGGGATCAATTGCTGAGTTTGCCTTGGAAACCTGCCCTGCAGTTTTACTGTAAGAGAAAACACATTCTTTTCCTCCACCATTTATCTGCCCTGAAGCTGAGATACACGTGCCAGCAGAGCATCCTGCCTGCCTCTCAAAGCAGGAGTGGGAGCAAGTGATTAAAGCACTGGGGATCAGCTTTCCCAGGATTTAGTCCCAATTGCTATCATTTCACTACGTAACCTGTGTGCACTTCAACATCCTTTCCCACAGCTATAGCTACAACATCACCTGCCTACTTCACAGGAGCAATGGGTTGCTTCACTAAGTAGCTACGTGGCAACCAGCACTGCTGGCAGAGCAGCAGCGCGTAGAAACGCATCATTACGTTGGTGGAATGGTAATTGCGAGCAGTTCAAGCAGCCGAGTGCGGACTGACAGGATCACTTTTGTTTAGCAAACAGTTAGACTCATTCACCGGAGATAAAGCAGACCTACATTGTAATTTGGCACAAGCTTTAGAAGCGAGCTGGAATGATGGATGAGCCATCACCCACGTGCCTCAGACAGAGCTGGTACGGGCGATGCCGCTCTCCCTTTCCTACCTCCCAGGAGCTCCCGGGTGGTGGCAGTGGCAGTCTGTGTCCTTATTGACTCCATTTCCTTATTAATTCCCTTATTGATCTGCTCACTGTGCACTAGGTAGATATGATATTTTGATCTCCTGTACTTCTGACAATGCTGCCACCGGATTGCGAAGCCTCCAGAGTAGTTTGCATTTTCTGTAATCTAGGCAGTCGGGATCCATGTGGACTTACTGGGAGAGCAGACACCCAGTGAGGGGTACCTGTGGGAAATCAGGGAAGCTGCTTGTGTTAGCACCTGAGCTGCTGGTCTGCGTACTCCCTGATGAGGAAATTCATAGTGAGAGATGCTTCAGCTTCCCAGCTGTTCTTCCCTTTTCAGGTCAGGTCAGTGGCCAAAAACACCCTGAACCATCAAAATCTGGTCAGGATATTACAGCTACTACTTCTTTCTCTCTTATTTTAGAGTAATTGGTCTACAATCAGAGCAATGATTGCACAGCTGGAGTCTGTGAGGATGGCTAAACAGCTTGGACATGAAATCTATTCTTATCTACAATACCTGTCAGCATCTCCCATTGTATCCACCATCATGCTGCCTGTCCCACATCCACCACCTTCTCTACCACTTCAACACAGTCATCATGCACCTAGTGGAGGCTGCAAGGCCTACACACCACCTCAGGCATTTCAGAAGGTGCACGCTTGAGAGGAAAACACGGAATGTAATTCTCGATAAGAGAACACACTACATTTTTTACTTACACTGCTTTATTGCTTATTACACAGGACTCAAATAATTTCCCCTGTGACAGGGGTAGGAAGAAGGAGTAAAAATAGGGAAAGATAAGTTCAGATAGATGAGGTGGTGGGACCAAGTAATGCAGCTTCCCAGTGATGGAGCCAGCAGGAGACTCCCAACTCCTCATCTGCACTGCCGAGTGAGATAGCAAGGTGGGGACAAGGTCTCACTTTTCAAAAGTGCCAACAAATTCTGAAATTACTGAAGCAAGTGGAGCACTAGCACTGGTGCCACTGAGACACTGTGCACCTGGAGAAGAGCACGGTTGGTTCTGTGTGGCTCCAAACCCTGAAAAAACTTCGGATACTCTATAAACAATACCATCAGCACAAACCATGCTATCTAATAAAGTTGAGGAAACGTTTGCAATCAGTTCTCAGAACAGACTCTTTCATAATTGAAGCACTGCAGAGAAGACAGCATTATAATTATAACAAATGGGTGCTGCTGAGTTAGAGAAGAGCAAAATCTTTTGTCAGCAAATCCCATTTACACAAGCAGAGGTAATGTTGGTAGGAGCAGTCACATTACTCTGTGTACTAGCACATTCCCTGCAGGGCTGAGATAATTTTTGCTAGTCCCTCTTCTTTTTAACTTGCAATGGGTTTTTCTGGTAAGTTGGAAAAAGTTCAGAGACCAGCTACAGGAACGACCGGAGGACTGCAAAAACTCATATAACACTGAAAACAGCAGCAGCTACATCAGTAGGTTGTATCAAGCAGCAGGTTAAGGGACGGATTGATCACTGTATGGAAAACAGACTTTTGGTAATGGGTTCTTAAAGGTGTAAACAAATCCAATGACTGAAAGCTGATATTAAAAAAAACGGACTAAAAATAAAGGAGTACATTTTCAACAGCCAAGGCAATTAACCTTCAGTACAATTTATTGATGGTTGTGCTGGATTTTCCATTCCTGGAAACATTAAAGAGTAAGATGGAGGTTTTTCTAAATTACTTCCTAAATGCCCAGCATGTTGAAAGAGAACAGGATGCTGCTCAAAAAAGCTAAAAATCACCTTCACCCAGGTTCAGGCCCTCCTCAGTGACAATGAACTCCTGTCCTCCCAGTGTAACCTGGGTGGGTTAGGAGACCTTGGAGAGCCTTCATTATAACTCTGTCAGCAGGCCAGAAGACAAAACATAGATGTAATTTCTGGAGTTTCCTGCCACACCACGTGTCAGGAAAGAACACTTTTTGCACCTCCTGACATGCCCTATGGAGCTGAACTCTGCCCTCGCTGTCCATCAGAGCCACTCCTCACCTTGTCTGTCCTTCCCACATATGTTTGTATTCCCAAAGACATTAGCTGCATCCTCCATGTTTGCTTTCCCTTGCACTGCCTGCCCCCCCTGCCCCTT